GATAATGGCTCGAAATTATTAATCGGAGAGCCGAGTTCTAATTTCATTTGGGATCGTTATATTCACTTACTTTTTGTAAATGTATGAATCCACTTCCCCCCGGCTATGGGTTAATTATTAAAACTTGTATCACTAAATGTTTACTATTTGCAAAGATAAAATAAAAGTGTGTACAAAATATTTACATTTCGGCATTAAATAACTCGTAGAGTTTGATACGGCGCTAACCAAAAACAACCACCCGAAAAGGAAAGGCCATCAGAAAAATTACAATGGAAATATTTATAGAAAAATGCAGCTAAGCTAGGTTACGGCAGTGGGAATGTGTTTGAAGCCAAGATGCCGGATCAAGACCGATAAGATTACAGATTTTTTATTCAAATTTTATCAAAAATCTCTAAATGCGTAACAAAAACACCAGGCCAGCTTAGATGTGCGGATGATGTAATGGATAATGGCTCAATGCTCGCCTCTTCTCCCCCAGCTATGGGTTAATTATTAAGACCTGTATCCCTAAACCATCATTATCTCCCCCTTAGAAACGTATCAATCAATCGTCTCATTCATTATAAACATTTGCACATGAACCCAGCCAACTACAATTTTTACCGTTTTATTACTTCTCATCACTAAACTCTTCTGACGCTCCCTGTAACCTCCTGCGTCTTAGTGGCATTATCGCCTTGATTGGAGTGAATTGATTAAAAACAACTTCTAACATGAGTGGCTGTCGAGTTTTGAATTGTCAGTCAATTATGTGCCATGCGTGATACATGCTTAGGCGATAATGTATCTTTCGATAAATGACTGACGAGGCAGATTTTTCCCCGCAGTTGCCATTTCTTTCTATGGTAGCCTAGTTGTCATCCAAGACTACTATAGAACACGGTCTGTCCTGCTATTTCCCTCTAGCTGAGGGGTGGGGGAGAAGAAGTGGATTCATACCTTTCCTAAGGGTATTATGCTCCATACGTGATACACGCTTAGGCGATCATGTATCTTTCGATAGAGGACTGAAAAGGAAGATTTATTTTTCCCGCAGTTGGTTGCCATTTCTTTCTGCGAAAGGCTGCAAGGCTATAGAACTCGGTCTGTCCTCCTATTTACCTATAGCTGGGTGGGGGGAGAAGAGTTTTCAAACCTTTCTCACGTAAATTGAATGTAATGGATTCAACTGGAATTCGAACTCGGCTCTCCGATTCTTCAATCCGAGCCTCTATCCATTATTCCTCCTCTTTGTCTTGTATTGGCTCAACTTCATTATAGATAGAAAAAAAAAACTCCAGGTAATTCACAGATAATAATCTGTGAAGAATCCTAATCACCTATGTCTTGAAGGGGGGCATTGTATGAAAATACTAATGTTGCTACTGATACCACTTTTACTGCTTTTTCTGCTGCTGTGGCTTCTAACGTAAATACGACTGAAACAATTATAATTCATTTCTTTTTAGTCATTTTCTTTGTTTTTTTGTTGTTTTTTTTAAATATTATTAATATTAAATTTGTTATTATTTTCCTCAGGAGGTTGGTTGTTGTTGTTGTTTTTGTCGTTATTGTAAGTTTAATATTTTTGCTGGGTTTTTTTGTTTGTTAACGTTTCTCCCTTGTTCTTCGCGATCGATCGGCGTGATCAATCACGGTGCCGTCCATCCCGGCTCCTCTCACTTCCCGTGCCTAAATATTCAGAGATATGATATGGCATATGGAAAAACATCACCCTTACAAAACAAACAAAGAAAAAAAAAAAAACAAAAAAAAAAAAAAACACACACACAAAAATAAGATAAGAAGAAGAAACGAAAATCGGTCCTAGGATGAAGAACGAGCAGGCGTAGAGCATTGGTGGCTGGGTCGGACGCTAGAGTGTGTTCTCTGTCGGATGAATATCACACTAGTGATTAATCACTGGTTGCTCAGAACTGCCTGGACACACGAGATGCTCCCATTAATGTCTGATCGACTTACATAATTCAAAGTAAGATTTCTCCCCTTCTTTTATTCATTTTAAACCCTAACTCCCAAACTATCGTATCCGCTAAGTTAGGACAATCTTCGATAAAAAGCTGTACACACTGGGGACAGCAACTAACATAAATACAAGTTTATGCGAGGACCGCGGACCGGTTGCGTAGCCTTTATGAAAACTGGAAGGGACCGCACTGCGCAAGCGAGTCTATATAATACGATTTTGCATTCTGTTACCTTCGCGGTCGGGGTGACAGAATCAGCAGATTATTATTTTTCAAGGAGTGCGACACGGCATCGTATCACCCAAGTCTGTTAGTTTTCTCGAACTGTCGCTCAATTTTTGGTTCATGGAAAAATCTGTCTTATTCTCGTTTTTTTTTTTAAATTTTTTTCAATAGACTAAAAGTGATGTTGAAACACCGTGGGCGAGATTAAAGGGAAGGTTAACAGGCACTTGAAGGTGATCCCGAAAGAAAACAGTTAACCCAAAGAGGTTTTGAAGTGAAAAAAGGTGTGATTGTTCGGGACATATTATTATTTCAATTAAATGGCTGATTAATTCACCTTTATTTTCTCTTTTTCTATCTCTATATATATATATATATATATATATATATATATATATATATATATATATATATATATATATATATATATTGAAACGATATTATAGTGAATATTCACGTTTGACGTAGACGCCGTGTTTTTTAAATACTATTATTCACTATAATAAGGTGTGAAGTTATAAAAATATCGGATGACATATAAACCCATTATATATATATATATATATATATATATATATATATATATATGCATGTTTTCCTGGAAAACGACAGATACGGTACTACGATTAAGTTTTTATTTAATTTTTCTTGTGTTAGAACAATTGTTACCTCTTTTGGTAACTGTTCTATAATTCCGAGCGGTTTCGATTATACTTTTAGCCATTATCAAGTAGGATTTTATTTTTTCAATTTAATTTAAGGGGCATATGAACTGATAGATAAGGTACGTTGGTTGTAATTTTGACTTTGCTGGTGTGTTGTTATTTTTGAAGATAAGGTTAGCTGTTTTAAATTTTTGTAGTAGATAATTAATTTGATTTTTTTTTATTTGGAACTGTGTTCCTGATCAGACCAAATTCATAAATAATTACAGCGGTCACACGGCTACATGTCTATCCAAACACTTTACGTTACACCTATCGAGCCATATCTCTATTAGAACCCATTTAAACACACACACACACACACAAATTTACCAGGCTCTATCCGAAATATATTAATAGAAAATACAAACTTAATAAACACATCCACATTTAAAAAATATGAATATAGTTTTCTCAAGCCCTAAATAATAAAAAAAAAAAAAAATAACACTTAATAATATTAAATAAGAACACAGCCACAACGTGTTAACTGTGTTCGGAAAATAAAACATCTCTATAACACTAAAAACATGCACGCAACCCACACACCCAATTAAACTGAAAAAACTAAAATCATACTTGATAATGGTTAGCCGAAAGCGCTCGGAATTATAGAAGATTTGGACAGTTTCTAAGCACCATGCGTCCCAAAAAACAAAAACAAAAAACAAAACATAAAACACTTGTTCTAACACAAGAAAAATAAAATAAAATGCTTAATCGTAGTACTTTGTCTGTTTTTTTTAATGAAACATGCATAAATGAAGGATTTCTGAGTAAATACAATATATATATATATATATATATATATATATATATATATATATATATATATATATATATATATGAGTAGCAAAGAAATCAAAACGTTTCTTCAATGTATTTCTCTTCATCTGGGTATTCTAGGCTACTGATGTTCAAGAAAATAATCAGGACTAATCATACCATTTAGTCTCAGAGACATTAGAATATGTACTATAAAATAACCTAGATAAAGAAGAAATATATATATATATATATATATATATATATATATATATATACATATATATATATATATATATATATACTTTGTGTGTGCATATACATATATATGATTATATATATGACAAATATATAATTTAGAGATATGTTATATATATATATATATATATATATATATATATATATATATATATATATATATGGATGAAAATTACCAATATTTAGGATACACCATGTATATATATATACGTGTATATATATGTAAAGTGTCTTTAGAGAAAAAAAAATTCAAACAGATTTTATTAAATGCAATCGACAAGACATGTTCATTTATTTTTGTATTGTACCTTTTGTAAGTTTCGAATATCGTCATGAATATCGGGAACGAAAATTACGAACAAACTGACCAAAGTTATTATTCAGTTTCGTTCCAGTACGTCCGAAAGAAATGAGTGTTGTCAATTTGGTAGACTAGATTTTGTTACCTACATTGTGATTTTTCATTATTTTTCTTTTTAATTTCTTTTTTTTTAAATCTCAGCAATTAGAATTGGAATCATTTTATCCACATTTATAACCCCTATATTTTGATTCCAGTATTATTGGAAAACTAATACTAAAAAATAAAATAAAAAAATGGAAAAAAAATAATAAAAATTGAGCATAGATAAAAAAAACCCTGCTTGAATGAAGTGAATATTGAGAATATTGAAGTTAACACTCAGGCGACAGGCTGTTTCATAACTTTATAAATAGTCGAGAATAAAACCAACACATGTAGCCTGACGATTGCGTCCAGCTCATGCCTTTGAGTGTTGACTTCAATGTTCACTTTTATATTTATATTTACATCTGATATTGAGTACTTTATCCCATAAATATACCACACCTTAAAACTATATTTCTTCATATATATATATATATATATATATATATATATATATATAGAGAGAGAGAGAGAGAGAGAGAGAGAGAGAGAGAGAGAGAGAGAGGTAGTAATCCGTTGGTATTATCCAAGCGAGTCCTATGAACACAATATAGAATTTGAATTATTAAATATTAAATGTTTAAAGTGAGTCACAAAGAGCGCTGAATATTTATTTTCATTAAACAGAGAATATTTTTCTTACAAGTGGAATTATGATACCATTAGGCTCCCTCTCTCTCTCTCTCTCTCTCTCTCTCTGGTATCTTAATTCCAATTATAGGAAAAAAAATATGTTGTATATGTGTGTGTCTACGTGTGTTTTGTGTATGATTTAATGACACGAAAGATGAAATTGAGAAACAGTCATTGAAAAACACTTCAGACTATTCTTGTTCCCTTACCATGAATGCAAAAGTATAATTCTATATAACTAACCAAAGTTCCAGATCTAGACATCAATGTAAAAAAAAAAACGTCTGATCACCATTGTCACTGTTGTGATTATATTTCACAGCAAAGTGACTAAGCGTTTGACAGGATACGTGGGCGAAATACTCTGATCTATCTATCTATCTATCTATCTATCTATCTATCTATCTATCTATGCACAGTGGGCGAAAGGCTCTGCTATATCTATCTATCTATCTATCTATCTATCTATCTATCTATCTATCTATCTATCTATCTATCTATCTATCTGTACACAGTGGGCGAAAGGCTCTGCTATATCTATCTATCTATCTATCTATTGTGGGCGAAAGGCTATATCTATCTATCTATCTATGTATTGTGGGCGAAAGGCTATATCTATCTATCTATCTATCTATCAATGCACAGTGGGCGAAAGGCTCTGCTATATCTATCTATCTATCTATCTATCTATCTATCTATCTATCTGTACACAGTGGGCGAAAGGCTCTGCTATATCTATCTATCTATCTATCTATTGTGGGCGAAAGGCTATATCTATCTATCTATCTATGTATTGTGGGCGAAAGGCTATATCTATCTATCTATCTATCTATTGTGGGCGAAAAGGCTATATCTATCTATCTATCTATGTATTGTGGGCGAAAGGCTATATCTATCTATCTATCTATCTATCTATCTATCTATCAATGCACAGTGGGCGAAAGGCTCTTATATATATCTATCTATCTATCTATCTATCTATCTATCTATCTATGCACAGTGGGCGAAAGGCTCTGCTATATCTATCTATCTATCTATCTATCTATCTATCTATCTATCTATCTATCTATCTATTGGGCGAAAGGCTATATCTATCTATCTATCTATCTATCTATCTATCTATCTATGCACAGTGGGGAAAAGGCTCTGCTATATCTATCTATCTATCTATCTATAGTGGGCGAAAGGCTATATCTATCTATCTATCTATCTATCTATCTATCTATCTATCTATCTATCTATCTATCTATGCACAGTGGGTGAAAGGCTATATCTATCTATCTATCTAGCTAGCTAGCTAGCTAGCTAGCTCTCTAACTATCTAATCTATGCACTGTGGGAAAGACTCTGCTATATCTATCTATCTATCTATCGCACTGAAGAGCTGTGATACAGAGAAACAGTACTGTCTGCATGAAAGACACGGACACAGACACACACACAGAGACACACACACACATATTATATATATATATATATATATATATATATATATATATATATATATATATATATATGTTACAGTAAGATTAAACCTGTACAAGATAGAAGGTTATGTTAAGGGTTAGTTTATATGGATAGGGAGGGAAGATAATGTCAACTCTAGACATGAACAGGTTAAGATTGTAGTGATCGGTACGTTCAGGGCTAGTTTATATAGATGGATAAGACGGGAAGATAACGGTTAACTCTAGACGTACACAGATTAAGATTTTAGTGATCGGTACGGTTAGGAGTATTTTATATGGATAAGAGAGGAAAATGTCGGTTACCCCTAACGGTGAACTAGATAATATTAAAGTGTCCGGTTCTTTAAGAAGTAGTTTATATGGGTAGCAGGAGAAGATAACAGTTAACTCTACACTTGAGTAGCTTAAGATTTTAGTGATCGATACGCTAAGCGCTTAAATGATATGGATGATAATGGCTAAATCTAGACTTGATTAGGTTAAGATTCTAGTTTTTGGGAGTCTGTTCTACAGGGTGGTTGTTCGATGGAATAAGCTGTTTGTGTGGAACTTCTCGCCGATGAAATACGGAGGGCATGTGGATATTTTGCTACTATGTAATTGGCATTGCGAATCCTAGATTTGAAGGTGTTATACCTAACGTACCTATTCTATTATTAATAGACTCTCCCACATATAATAAGTAGTAGTAGTAGTAGCGGTCGCCAGTTCGGCTCAGTGGTGTTGAGCGAGTCAGACGATATCGAACATTGAAGTACCAACCATCACAACTAGATTGCTGCGTCATTAACTCTTATTTCCAAGTTCCTAACGTTTTGTACGTCGAACCTAATTTAGGACGACTTATTGAAATACAAGCCTCCACTGTGAAAATTGCTCCACAACAGAAGGTTAGACCTGGGGAAACCAAAGATCGTAGTTGGTCCGAGCACTTTACATAGAATTAGCGATAGAGCAGTCATAGACTGACCACCGCCTGCCCGTGGGAGAGAGATTCGAGGGTGGAAAACAGTTCTTTTCCTACAAGGATTCGGAGACGCTTTTGAAGTCTATCATTACTGGAAAGTGAGGACCGGTCAGTTCCTGTCCAAATATGGCAAGAGTATTCCATTTGCGGCTTGATCTGACTCTCATAAAGATAGAGGATGGTATGAAGTGTCGAATACTTACTGGGATTCAATCATTATACCTGTATCTTTAACTTTGAATCAGGTGTGAGTTTGAAGCATAATATTCTCTCAAGGTTTACTGCCATCTCGGGGGTGCTCTCATCCATTTTCGCTGAAAATAATATCCAGTAATTTTGATGGTTTTTCCAAGATTCATTGATGGCTTTCGTATCTGACATCATTTCTTACTTTATCAAGACGGTTATCGACTTTGGAATAATATAACACAACCTTTCCGCTCTCATATCTTTCCTTATTCCACGGTATTGGTAACTATAATGAAACTAATATAATTTTCCATACGTGAAACATTCACTATTCATTGGCCGAACAGTGAGCTGTATTGTCTGTTGAAATTTATAAACTATTTCTATGAATATAGTTTTCTCAAAACCAATAGCTTTTATCGCTCTTTCAAGCATTGATGGGGGCTTTCCTTTTTAACATTTCATGTAAGGAAATGTTGAAAGTTAACATCTTTATTATGTCATCATTTTCACTGTCCATTTTGTTTGTTGCGGTGTTTAAATGTCTTTATGGTATATGGCACAGTTGTTTATTCGTGATTATGTTGCAAGATCCGACAAACTGTAGTAATCCCCGAGACCTACAGGGTCCATAGCTTTCATTATTTGATATGTTACTTTAATTAACACGATGATTTGCCAATGTATGCGTCGTCTGTTGATATAATACTAAAAACTCTGTGATTAAGTGCGTGCTTGTGTGATGCGTCCGTTCGACACATAATGATTTATGAGTTGTTTGTACACAAAGTATTCTTATTTTAATTTTCGTCAAACATTTTTTTTTAATTAAAATATTTTAAAGTTAAAAACAGACAGAAAGCGATCCCGATTGTTTGTTTCGTTCAGTTGTTTGTAGAGTAATTTTTTATAATTCAGCTTTCTTTAAACAAACAATATTTTATATTAACCACTGTTCACCATATTCTATGAATATAGAATACAGCGCAGTACGTAATCTGTTCAATGAAACAACGTTAAAGATTAATACTCACGAATCAGACACTCTACTGAATCCGCCTATATCGCCAATACCACCAGCAGCTGTTCTGTAATTCTCCATATTTTCTTCGATAACAAAGGCTGCCAGTGAATATTCGGAAAAAATAAACATGGCCGCCTTTATACACGTCGCATTGAATATTTTGAGTCTTCTGATTGGTTAACCCTTCTATTGGTGAACTATAAATGGTGTCAGCTCATTTTGGCTGGATCACTAGTACTAGCTACCCAAAAATTACAACATTTTAAATATTTACAATTATTTTTTGACATCTGTCTATATTTCTGAGATGAGGTATTATTTACACTATTTACATTATTCGGACTATTGTCATCATATTTGTTGCCAGGTTTATCACAACGTTTCGGCTGTTGTACGCTCCAGCCTACTTCAGGTGGGTGGAATGTCGACATTCCAACCACCTGAAGAAGGCCAGAGCGTACAACGACCGAAACTTTGTGATAAATATGGCAATAAAGGTGAAGACAATAGTCCGAATAATGTAAATAGTATTTTTCGTAATTTAAAAAAAAAAAATTCAAGTGAATATGATTTAAAAATGTTTCATGGCATATTAAAAATATTTTAAAGTTAATCTGATTTAACTTTTAAGTTTATCCCGGGTGTTCTATTCCGATTAAATGCTGTAAACAATCAGGAAAACGTTAAACATTATCTTGTAAACCAGACCAATTATAACAAATTGAAATATTTAACTAGGGACCTCCACGTTTTTCGGCAAAATTTCCGATACCTAACTTTAAAATAAATTTTAACAAATGAAAAAACATGCTTGAAAATTTCATTTTAGCTTTAATTGAAAGTTTAATCATTAAATTTATTATTTCCATTACGTAAACAATTCTGGTGTATTTCAGATAGAAACTATATACATTGGAATGTCAAATTTAATTTTGGAATTTTAAATTTTCGTAATTCCCGCCATTTTCTTAATTTTAAGAAATTTGTAAACAAACACAAATTTATCGATTTTAAAAATATTTAAAAAGTTTCTGACACGTTATTTTAGTAAAATTAGAAAATTTAATGTTAAATTAATCTGATTTAAAAGAAATATTACTTACTTCTAGCATAAAAAAGTAATATACAACCAATTATTAACGATTGGTACTGTTATTTTTATCCAATACTTGATCTACGTGTTGATTGACGAGTGATGACAGCTACTACGGATGACCATAAATGAAAATTATTAGAAATCTGAGTAAACGCTTTTTTTTAGCTTTGGTGAAAGGGACAAAACTCTTTTTATAATAACGTGTTAGAAAATAATAAAAAAATTTCAAAAAATAATTAAAAAATACTTTGGTCTTTCATCTTAATAATAACATAAGCATTTTTACGATAAAACTTGATTTGCGTTAAGTTTGTGGCATTTTTGACACGCTATGCCGTTTCCCGCGAAAAAGTGGAGGTGCCTATATTTAACTGAATCATCATAAAATTAACATTCATTTCGTGGAATTTAGAAATCAACGTCAATATCACCCTTAGTCTAGTAGAAATTTAAAGTTTCTCCAGCAATTTCTTGGATAGCATTATTTGTAAAGCATTATTTCCCAAATAGCCATAAGAGATGTTGCAGCATTTTCGTCAGAGAATAACAAGTACATACAATCTTCCCTGATAAAATATGTGGTTGAGAAAGCAACATGATTTTTTTTAACATGCTTTTTCAAAGAAGAAGAAGAAAAAGAAAAAGACGAAAAAGGCTTATCCTCTATTTAACAGGTATTCATTTCCGTTCGCCCTGCCCCACGAGACAATTCCGGTGGAGCAAACGATTTAGGCGCCGAAGACCCGACCATAGAACATGTATTTCTTGATTACATAGCATCAGTTCCACTCACAGAATGAGCTCATATAAAAGCCAGAAAATATTTATTATTTACATTCTTTTTCCGTCTTTTTCTTCTTTTATAAGAATGAACTTATATACATTTAGATATTCATTCTGAAACAGGAACTTCAGGGTTAGGGAAATATGAATATGACTTTAAAAAAAAAAAAAACTTATGGCATATTAAAATTATTTTAAAGTTAATCTGATTTAACGTTTAAGTTTATCGCAGAAGTTCTAGTCCTATTAAATGTTGTAAACAATCAATAAAACGTTAAACATTATCTTGTAAACCAGACCAATGTTGACAAATTGAAACATTTAAGTAAATCATAATAAAATTAACATTCATTTCGTGAAATGTTGAAATCAACGTCACTATTTTATAACCTGAACAGTCGATGAACCAAACGGTCTAGTAAAATTTTAAAGTTTCCCCAAAAATTCCTTAGATAGAATTACTTGCAAATCATTAGTTCCCAAATTCTTATAAGAGATGTTGCAGCATTTTTTCGCCAGAGAATGACAAGTACATACATTCTTCCCTGATAAGAAAGCAACATATTTTTTAACATGCTTTTTCGAAGACGAAGAAGAAGAAGGAGAAGGTTTATCCTCCATTTAACAGGTATTCATTTCCGTTCACCCCGCCGCACTAGATAATTCCGGCGGAGCAAACAGTTTAGTACTGGTTTCTCGTTTATGATGACCTCTGTCATGTGAAGCAAAAGCTTATGAGGGAACCAAATTCTCTCTTTGCAAGTCTTTCCGTTTCACTTGGAATGCGCGTGGACAGTTGACACATTACACATTACTTTTTTTTTGCAGCAAATCTCGCGTGAATTGACTTTGATCAAATTTAATATTCCCTTCGAAAAAAATACTCGACCTTCAGAGATGTTAATCTTCCGCAGTGAAGCTTGTCAGGTATGTCGCAATTGCCATTTAAAACCCCTTAAATCACAGGCGACATGTGAGCGCCTTCGTTGCACAGGTATATATTGCGCAATGTTATTTTTTAAATGACTCTGCAGCAAACTGTCATTTTGAAATGAATACAGTAAGACATACTGAATATATTTCATTTCAAAGTTATTTATATTTTTTATCTGATTTACAGTGGTCTAAAGAAATGACTTAGGTTGTAGTCTCATGAATAGTATGCTGCCTTTTTCGTTTGTGTCAGGCATAGAAAGGACCGTCCTTTTTTTTTTAAACATGCAGAATCACGAACAAAGAAGTATACGAAACAACCACATCACTTTAAGTTTTACAGCAGCACCAGCAATTAAAAATGGATAGCAGATGTAACTTGAAGTGAAAATAAATACATTATCAAGATATCAACCTTCCACAGTATTTCGAACAAAAGTTGAGCAAAGGAAACCCCCATAAATAATGGAAAGAGTGATAACTGCTATTGGAATATTTGCCTGTTAAAGAAAAATTAAATTCAAGAGAGAGTAGCACTGGTTGTTTGAGCAATGTTTGCCAAATATTTCCTTATAAGGAAACGGTTGTTATTACCATTTCTATTAAAGTCCTGCATTCATATGAATATCATGCGTGGCGACAAACTAATTCAGAAATATCTAAACTGTATACAAACGTTTTCTCAGCTCAATGGTTAAAATGGCTTTGGATAAATGGAAAAGATAGGTCTTCGCGAGGACTATCCTTTTTCAAATCTTTCAGAATAGCAAAGGAAGAACTGTATGATATAACAGAAACAGCATCTCTTAAGGACTTACAAAAACAGCAACAACTAAAATGGATATGACATCTACATTCGAAGAGAAAACAATAGTATAATAGAGATGTTGACATTCTAAACTGCTGCAAACAAAAGGTTAGGAAGGAAACCTCCACCAATATTAAGAACATATTTTCCTTAAAAATTGCTTTAAGATAAAGATTGTATATTTTTCAAACGACAGTGGCACTGGCTGCTCGGTCAATGAACAGCGAAGGTTTATATATAGGAAAACATCTAATATTACCATTAAAATTACCATTTCCATCTGTGAACGCTAAAATATCCGGCCTTTGGAATATAGAATCGAATTCGGCACAGGTATTAATTTAATTAATTCATCGGAATCAGCCATCCTGCGTTGAGTTAAATCTATTGACAGTGTCAAATATGTCTATCTGAAACGCTCTCTTAGTTGCATCTTGGAGCTTTGTTTATGACACCTGCGTGGCTCTAGGACTGATCGTCAAGTTGATATAAATTCCTTTTGGTTGAGAAGGAGAGATACAGAGTTTTATGTTAGAATATTTCAATCGTGTGATTTGTGCGAACTTTTGAATCTGTTAAAGAACAAGCTAAATTTCCTCCTGGAGGAAGCCACTGAAGCTTATTGTTGTTTATCTGTTTTAAATACACATTGTATCACACATACACTCAGATATTATATATATATATATATATATATATATATATATATATATATATATATATATATATATATATATATATATTTGATACAGGATATGTATAAAAAAAAAATGTATAAATAATAAAAATATTCAATTGTATTAGCAGCTATCAGAATCAATTATATTATACGATCAATGTCGCGTAGACTAGAGTCGAGCTTGTACTTCGGGCAGATCACACGAGATCTCTGGAGAATTTCAGTCACGCGATATCACGCGAAAGTCACTTAACATAAGTTTGTTTCGAGTGAGGACGAATCTGAAATTTGCTTGATCTGCAATGAATAAAAATCGTTAGAGAGAAGAAAAAAATGATGTAATTGAGAGCGTACACAAAAAGAAAAAGCAAAAGTTGAATAAGGATTGACTTGTTAGATTTTGATCTCGAATGGGAAACACTGATTAGCAATAAATACATAAATAAATAAAAGGATAAAAAAAATAAAAATCACGTTTGTTTAATAATGGTTTCTTTTAGTGACTCGATCGATTTCATAGGAGTGACAGATGAAACTAATGAAACATTAACCTACAATAAAATATTCTTATAGTTATAAATACTGTAAAGCAACTTTTAGCTATTCAACAATATCTATCTATCTATCTATCTATCTATCTATCTATCTATCTATCTATCTATATCTGGCTGTTTCTGCTTTTCTTATCTATCTATCTATCTCAGGTTTTTTCCTTCTTTATTTTATTATCTCTCTCTCTCTCTCTCTACACACACACACACACACACACACACACACACATATATATATATATATATATATATATATATCTCAGGTTGTTTTCCGTTTTTCATATGTATCTCAAGTTGTTTCAATCTATCTATCTATCTATCTATCTATCAATCTCATTCCATTTCTATCTATCTATCTATCTATCTATCTATCACAGGCTTTTTACTTCTTTCTTTTATCTATCTATCTATCTATCTATCTATCTATCTATCTATCTATCTCTCTTATCTGTAATACAGGTTTCATTAAACTAGAGTGAAAATGGTACTTGTTATATTTTTTGTATGCGTACATGTGTTTTCTTTTCTTTTAATGAGTTTATAAATTGTACAAATGTTTATTCCTTGCATTCTCGGCTACAATCTTAACCATTTTCAAGAATTTTTTTATAGTAACTAAAGTATAATATATATATATATATATATATATATATATATATATTACTCGTTTTACTCCCACCAAGACGATAATACCACTAGAATGCATGTAGCTACATGGAGTGAAAATAAATAAACAACACCAGTAATTGAGATAGAAAAATAAGTTTATTAAATGTAAGAATACAGACTTGAAGTGAAGATTAGTAGTCCAGGAATGCGGGTTAGTAGAAAGTATATGTACAAGTCTCTGTAAGTAAAGCTGTAATCATCTCTCTCTCTCTCTCTCTCTCTCTCTCTGGACTCTTGTATAACTCTCTGAGAACACCCTGTGTCTGTCTCCGTATCTCTCAACGTATCTCAACGTATCTCTCCCAGGTATTCTCTCTGTCAGTATAAGTATACTTTGGACGAGTCCATCTTATGTAAAAAGGGGATAGCCCCACAACAGAAAACAAATGAGAAAACTGACAATGGGGAGCATTGCGGAAAGAAAACTGAAGATGATGAGTGACGGCGAACTTAGATTTTTGAAGATTGTTGAGGGGTCCTCCCCTTTATACACAAATGGGCTCACCCAGTATATACATATACTACTGCTACCTGAAGACCCGAGAGACAAGATCGAGACGAGAGCTACCGAGGGTGAAGGTAACAGACAGACAGAACGAATGTAGCGATCAAGAGTCACCGTAAGCGAGCACGTAGACCCAGTAAGAAGTCATACAACAATACTTCAATACCAAAGAATGTATAGGCATTTTGCTACTAACCCGCACTCCTGGAACTACTAACCTGCATTATCAGTTTGTATTATTACGTTAATACATTATTTTCCTACATTCATTCTTGGCGTTTTTTATTTATTGGTACCGGATTTCAACTCGGAATCTGCAACAAAGATTGTAGTTATCAGGGAAGCAAGAAATCGGATGGGCGTTCCACAGTCGGGAAGTTCGCCAAAAGAAATTGATAAAGTAGAAACGGCGCTTGCATCAAGCTACATAAAAAGTAAAACGTTGCGAGCTGGTTGCCAATCTAGCATGATGCTTAGATTCATGTAATCGGGGCACCAGCGACATTAGGTAATCGGAAGAGTTCCCATGAAAATATTTGTAGACAGAGGGAAGCCACCTCATGTCGGTAAGAAAGTGACTGAAGTCGAGATGCCAGCTCAGGATCGATTACATATAATATATAAAATTATTAAAAATCATTGACAATGGTTAATATTTAAGGCAAATGAATGCTGATTGAACAAGATTTTTAACAATAATATTTAGAATGCAAGTTGCTTAGTTTCTGAGAGAGCATATAATATGCCATGATCAACTGTTTGCAACGTTCAAATCCTGGGTCACGATGACTTGTGCTTTGGTGCTTTCACAACCATCAACGGCTTCCGAACAGTAATGTCTACCCTATTTCACTCAGACGGTTTTAGTTACACAGTGGTATGGTCTTCATTTCCAACGGTGTCGCAAGTTGCATTTCGCCTACCCAGATCGATAACACCAAAACCTTCCTGACAAATCGACCATGGGAGATTGAACTTTGGTCAGAAATGAAACGTTCTAAACATATGCCACACACACATATACACATACAATCATATTTTTTATGTGCCGTGTCCTTTCAGGACGTAGGTGACTATGGCTCTTCACTCCCTCCCCCTATCCCTTGTGGCTCTCAATAGGTTTCGTCCCTGTGCCACCTGCCACAGACAACGTTCTGACATCCTCTTGCTTAAGCTTGTTAGGCATGGAGTATTGTTGGCACATATGGTCTGGAGCCCCTACTGTTTGCCTCGGGGTTTTTGATAGGCTCCAGAGGCGGATATGCAATATAATTGGCCTTGTTCTGGCATCTCGTCTACAGTCACTCTCTCAAAGGCGCGCCGTCGCCTCTCTCTGTCTTTTTTACAAATACTTTCATGGCAATTGCTCCGAGGAGCTGCATTCGCTGGTTCCCAGACTTCATGAGTTCAAGCGCCCTACGAGACTGGCATCCCGCTCTCACCCTTTCACTGTCGAAACTCCTAAATGTAGCCGTCTCTTCTACTCCAATAGCTTCATGTCTCAAACCTCTCGCCTGTGTAACTCCCTTCCCTATTCCAGTTTCCCTGAGAGCTATAATCTCCATCTATTCAAATGTAATGTCAATCAATATCTCCAGTTGCCTTGATCTATCCACTATCCCTCTCCTCATCCTTTCTTCTATCACTCCTATCTGATCTTGCTGCAAATTTTTTGTAACCCCTTGCGTCCTAGTGGCTTCACGCCTTGCTTGAGGTGAAACGCTTAACAAAACAAAAAAAGGTATGTTATGTGTTGCGTTCCCTTGTCTCCCTTTCCCTCTGTTCGACCTGTGAATATCAGATTCTCCAGGCCCTCCTTTCTCATTACGTGTCCCAGAAACCTCAGCTGCCTTTTCCTGATGTTAACTGATATGATGGAATATGCGTACACCTGTGTTCCCCCTCGCTGGAATATGATTGGCTGGTGTCCGTCATAAATACCGACGGACGTGTAGATATAACAAAGTTTAAGTCTATGACGACTCCCATTGGACTACGCCATTGATCAACACGTTTTACCTGCGACTACGACGCGTACCAGTCGATTACTGCTACCGTATTCTACTTGGTTATAGTAGCCAAAACCACTTAGTTACTTCGTTCAAATATATCCCTTTACGGGACATATCATTAACTATAGGCTTTTTCCTTGTTTGCATCCTATCCAAGACCTCATCATTGCTCACACGCTCGGTCCATGATATCCTCAACATCCTTCTGTGGAACCACGTCTCGGTTGCCTCAAGTGTCGTCTTCATCTTTGTGGAGGACAGATGTCACATAACAGCTCAGTACTCTTTTCTTTGTTACCAAAGAAATCTTTCGGTCTCGAAATAGTCTGACTAGGTTTTGGAATGCGTCTTTGGCCATCTCAATACGTCTCCGGATCTCAATGTCGCCCTCACCGTCTTCTGTCAGATATTGAAACTTCCGCAACTGCTTGGTTTTAATGTCTCCGTTCTGCAAATAGCATTTCAGTCTTATTTACTGATGACCATACATTCTATTTTCTTGGAATTTATGCTTAGTCCCTTCTCGCCCTCCTTTGCTACCTTCTGTAGGTGGGGGTTGTAATTTCTTTTCCGTGTCTGCTATCAGTACTGTGTTATCTGCGTATCTTATGTTGTTAAGATTGTGGCCGCCAATGCTTGATCCCCGTATATATATATATATATATATATATATATATATATATATAGGGTGACCAAAAATTTTTTTTTGAAGTCCGTATTGCCAGATATGAGCAAGTGGCAACACTACGAGACAGTAACCTTGAGCAAGTAAACATTTCGCCATTTTAGTAACCATGGATTAGTGGAACGGACAACAGTGTGCTTTAGCAGCAGTCAATGAGGAATCTCAATAGCAGATTTCAAGAATGCATTCGTACAGGCGGACGCCATTTACAGGACGTAAATTTAAAAAAATGAAATTTCCATCATTGTTTCTTAAATGGCATGTTTTAAGGTTTCAATTACCATGAATAAAATATTCTTCTTCCATCACTCTTGTTTTTTTTGGTTTGTTAAAAAGTTCCCATTTGTTGGGTCACGCTGTATATATATATATATATATATATATATATATATATATATATAAACACACGACTACCCGTGATTCGTTGGGCCAATGACTGTACAGGTTGTGAACCATTTGAAGAAAGTTGAAATTAAAATGCTTACTATATAAAGAACTGGTATTTTTAAATCATATTCACTTGAAACAATTTTTTAAATCACATTAACTTAAATATATGTTTAATGTGCCCAAAATATTTTAAAATCATATTCGCTTGAATTTTTTTTTAAATAGTTAAAATATTGTTTGTTTAAAGAAAGCTGAAATATAAATTATTGCTCTACAAAAAATGGACAAAAACAGCAAAGCGGGATGTCTTTGTGTCTGTCTTTAAGTTAATAATATTTTAAGTAAAACAATTGTATGTTTGAAGAAAGTTAAAATAGAAATAGTTACTGCATAAACAACTCATAGTTTTAAATCTTATTCACTTGAAATATTTTTGTTTAAATAAGATTAACTTTAATTATTATGCGCCGGACGCACGTACTACGCAAGCACGCACGAATCCCAGAGATTTAGTATTATATAGATATATAAAAGAAAAAAAATTAGTACGGAGAGAGATCAATAAAAGAACAGGAATTAAGAAGATAGAAAATAACTATATTGCATTTAAATTTCTGAAGATCAAATTTACTAGAAATTAAAATCCGGAAGAGCGTTTCAATAGACAGAAGCGTGATAAAATAAATTTTTAGCGTAGAACTTATGGTTATTTCAACTATAAAATGATGCGAAGTAGCTGCCTATTTAGTAATGGGTTCTAATTTGTAAATTATTTGTACCAAAGAGGAACGTTCATCAGAATAGTCAACATCAAATTTTACGTTACGGAGGTGGCAAGTGACTGAAACCGTGCTGCCAGATGAGGACCGATAATATAGTAGATACCTGTTTGGATTTTATTTTTTTCAAGAATCTCTAAATGCAGCGTAGAAGCAGCAGGCAAATATGACAGCAATAATCAATACATTGGCAAATGGTAAACTTATAAATGGGTAGGATATAAAAGACAAGAAAATATTTAAGATATAAAAACACTGGAAAATGTGTAAGATATTGAAGAGGCAAAAAATGGGTTCGATATAAAAGACTGAAAATGAGTAAGATATATAAAAGGACTAATACACGAAACTAATCCAGGGCACGCGTCTGGCAAACGACAATCTAATTGAATCAGAGAGCTCAGATGTGG